TTTGATTCTATTCTCTTGCTGCTTTCAGGACCTTCTGTTTGTCCTTGGTTCTTGACAGTTTTATTGTATTATGTGTAAATGTAGTTTTGTTTGCATTGAATCTGATTGGAGATCTCTGGCCTACCTGTACCTGGAAATTTATTGGTTTCCCAATACTTGGAACATTTTCTGCTTTAAATTCTTTAAAATTCTTTAAATAAGCTTTCAAGCCCTTTGTCTTCTCATTTATGAATATCTATGACTAAAATATATGTTCATTTGATATGTCTCATAAATACTGTAAGCTTTCATTATTTGTTTTCATTCTTTTTTCTTCTCTGAAAATATATGTTCAAATAACCTGTCTTTGAGTACACTGATTCTTTCTTTGCATGATCAGTTCTGCTGTTGATGCCCTCTGTTGCGTTCCTCATTTAATTCATTGTATTTTTCAGCTCCAGAATTTCTGTTTGATATTGTTTTAATAATGTCAATATGTCTGTTAAATTTCTTGGTCCTTTACTGTCTTCCTGATTTCAGTGAATTTTTTCTCTTTATTTTTTTTAACTTTGCCGAGATTCCATAAAACAATTATTTTGAATTCTTTGTGAGAGAATTTGTTATTTCCCTTGCTTTAGGGTCAATCACAACAAGATTATTGTGTTCTTTTTGTGGTGTTATATCTTCTTTTTTCTTGTTGCATTACATTTATGTCTGTGCATTTTAGGAAGTAGGAACTTATTCCAGTCTCTAATGACTTTGTCTAGGAAAGCTTTCACCTCATCCAGAGATTTTGGGAAGGCCATTTGGCATAATCCAAGGGCAGGTTTCCTACAGGAGTTTTCAGACAGGTTAACCTGGTGCCTAGGACAATTAATGGCAGGCCTATGCTCAGATGGGACTTGAGCCAGTCTGTAGGGCTCTGCAGTACTCGTGTAGGCTCTTGAGACACTAGAGTAGGCCTGAAGTCCAGTTGCATTGGGTCTTATCTGGTAATGGGTCAATGAGGCCAGGAAGGTACTCAGCCAAATTGGAGACTGAATCTGCAGAGATGGATTGAGGTTGAGGCTGTAGGATTCAGCCTGGGGTCAGGGTGGTCTTAGAGGTTCAAACAGAAATATCAGCCTAGAGTCTGGGGTCTTGGAAACCAGCCTGGCACTGGGTTTTACTAAAGATGAGCCTGCTGTTTTGGTCCAGGACAATGTCTGCTAATCACAACCTTCTCCTTTCCCCAAACATATGATATCTCTCTCAACACTATACTGCCTGGGTTTGTGGGATGGTTGGCAAAGAAAATGTAAAACTGTTCCTCCTGTCTTTTTCAATGTATTGTTTCTTATTTATGTTCTACAGCTAGCTGCTGTAATTTCTCATCTGGTATCCTCAGCTATTGTGAAGGTGTGTTCATTAGTCTCATGCATGGATAGTTGTTCACATTGATGTTTCTACAGGGGTAAAAGTGCTGGAGGGTCCTATTCTGCCATCTTGCTCTGCTCCTCCCCAGTATCATAATCATATCTTTGTTTCTCTTTGTTTTCTTTTCTTCCCAAAAATTCATATGTTGAAACATATCTTTGTTTTCCTACCAGAGCACAAACTTTATTTTGTATCCCCACACAAACTGCCTACTCCCACCACTACACACAGCCTCAGGCTGCTTTTAGCAGGTGTGAAATTCAAAGGAGAATGATAGATTTCTTTAATGGAGGGGGTATCCCTGGGTAGGCCATGGAAGAAAAGAGAATACAAAAAAAGGTCAACTGGGGAAATACTAAATAACAAAGTACAGTTGACCCTGAAATTATGTAGAGGCTGGGGAACCAATCCCCTATACAGCCAAAAATTGTAACATAACTTCTGACTCCCCCAAAAGTTAACTCTTCATAGACTACTGTTGACTGGAAGCCTTACCAATAAAAGAAACAGCCAATTGACACATATTTTGTATATTATATGTATTACATACTGTATTCTTACAATAAACTCTCTAAGAAAATGTTTTTCGAAAATCAAAAGGAAGACAAAATACATTCATTAAGTGCAAGTAGATCATCCTAAAAGTCTTCATGAGGATGAAGACTCATCTTCATGTTGAGTAGGCTGAGGATGAGGAAGAAGAGGAGGGGTTCGTCTTGCTTCTCAGGGATGGTAGAGGTGGAGGAAAATCTGCATGTAAGTGGATCTGTGTGGTTCAAACCCATGTTGAGAAGTTCAAATCTGTGTTGTTGAAAGGTCAACTGTACATCAGTGAAACAGACTTTAGAGAAATTGACATGGAATCCAAACATTTCCATATCATGGGGTTGGCAAAAAAAAATAGGTTGCAAGTTACATTTCAGAGGTTATAATATAATCAAAATGCAGAAATCATTCCCAATGCTGCCTTATTTAGATTTTCAAACAAGGCAGCCACACTGAAGGGCCTTCAGGAGGGAACTACAAGCCTGGGTTTTCAGATGTGGTAAATGAGGGCCCTGGGTGAAACCTGTGGTGAACACTGGCGTGTTTGAGATGAGGAAAATACAGACAGACAAAAAGTGATAGAGGAGAGGCATGCGGAGGTAACAGTAATGATAAGAAACAGGCTGGGCCCAGTGGTTCTCATCTGTAATCCTGTGATTCTGGAGGCTGAGGCAGAAAGATCTCATGAGCTCAGACTCTGAGTTTGCAGTTAGATATGGCTATGTCACCACACTCCAGCCTAGATGGCAGAGCGACATTCTGCCTCAAAACGAAAAAATTAAGGAACACAGGTAGATTAGCAATAGGTAGGAGATGTAGCAGAGATGGAGCAAATGAAATCTCAGTTAGGGAACAGCAGGGCTGGCACTAGGTGAGGCAGTAAGGCCTCAGGGCTCAGTGTGGCAGAAGGATCTCACCCTCAGCAACTGACTCTAAGTGATTCCTCAAATTTTAAGGCACCCCAAGGTGCCACCTTTGCCTCACCCTAGTTCTGAGGCTGAGAGTCACATATTTAAAATAAAAAAAGAATAGGGAAAAAGGGTAGGAATAGAGAAAGACACAGAGAGGAATAAATACCAAGAAATAAGAAAAAGTGGGGAAGGCTTAAAGAGAGCTGTGTAGAGAATGAGTTAAAGGAAAGTGAATGAGAAATGGGTGGAGAGCATGACATGCAGAGAGAGGAGACACATCACAACGCTGTCTGAATTGAGGGGACTGTCACTGGAAAGGAGGCCCAGGGTTGTCCCTGTTACCGTTGGGAAGGGCGAGGTGTGTCATTATCAAAATGGCCCCTGTGACCCCTCAGGTTGCAATAGGCCTCCTCTCGGGCATCTCATCCTCTGCTCGGCTCAGTCCCCACCTGCTGATCCCTAAACACGCATCTCCAGCTTAGACCTGTCCTCTAGGCCCATGTCTCCAAGTGCCCGAAGATCATTATTCAAAGATCAGAAGGACGTTTCTCTTGGAGGCTGTATCAGTTACCTATGGCTGTGTCATGTCACAAATCATCCCAAAACTTGGTGGCTTAAACAATCATCATTTTATTTGCCATGTCTGTTAATTCCAACTTTAAATATCTCCAACTTGTCCCCCCAGTCCAGGTCCCCGTCACTCTCACTGAAACCAGGGGACCTGTCACCCATCTGACCTCGTCCTTCAGTCTTGCTCCTCTCAAGTCCATTCTCTGCACTTCAGCTGGATGGACCTTTCAAAATAGAAACCGGTTCATACAGCTTTCCTGTTTAAACCCAGTGCCTGCTTGTGGCCCTTGGCGTTAGGTCAGCGCTGCTTGCTGTGCATGTGGAAGGACGCCTGCTGTGCACCACACATGCCCGTCACTCGCCTCTCACCGTTCGTGCCCATTCCCGCTGAACCAGACTCCGCTAGTCACTTGAACTTGCCAAGTTCTCTCTCTTTTACATCTCCCTTCACATATGCTTTTGGAAAAAGGTCTCGTGTAATCTTCCAAAGTAGAAAATACACATGCCCTACAACTCAACATTTAAACTCGTCAGCAGAAACCAAGAGAAATATGTCTTACCTTCATCAAAACACATAGAAAAGCATGTTTGTGATAGCATTATTCATAAAAGCTAAACACTCGAAACTGCACAAATAGATAAATACTTCATGGCTTATTTCTATAATGGAATACAATGCACCAGTGAACATGATTACAGAAAATAAATACACATGACTTTCATAAGCATATTTAAATACATATATATAAATTTTCTGGGATTTGGCTTCTTTTGGGATGATATGTATATACATACATATATGTGTATATATATATATAGAGAGAGAGACAAAGCAAAGAGAGAGAGTAAGAAGAAGAGAGCATGATTCCATTTATATAAATTGCATAACAGCCAAAATTAATTTCTGTATTGGGAGCAAGGTGGTGGTTGGCCTTAAGCAAGACTGTAGGGACAGTTAGTGAGAGGTGTCACTAGGAGGCTTCTGAGGTATTGGGGAAATCCTATTTCTTGACCAAAGTGAAATGCTAACTTTGTGATCATTCAAAACCCACTTTTATCTATGTATGTTATTCTGCAATTATGATTGTTTACTTACTATTTATTTATTTATTTAAAAACATGGTCTTGCTCTATCAACCATCCTGGAGTACAGTGGCACAATCATAGCTCCCTGCAATGTTAAATTCCTAGGATGAAGTTATGCTCTACCATCAGCCACCTGAGTAGCTGGGCTATAGGTGTGAGCCACCACACCTGGCTAATTCTGCTTATTTTTTGTAGAGATGGGGTCTAGCTATGTTGTCTAGGCTGGTCTCAAACTCCCACTTCAAGCTATCCTATAATTTTTATTTTTTTAAAAAAGGCTAGGAAAATTAGCCATCAAAGGATGTAAAGACTAGGTAGGGAAACATAGGAAAAACAAAGGAAGAAATAGAGTTAAGTAATAGGGGGGGAAAAAAAGGGTGGCGGGGGCCTCTTTCTACCCATCAGTGAAATTGAGGGAGGAGTTATCAAAGGCAGTGAAGGGCCCACTGGGGAGACAAATAAAAATGCTTTGTTTCCTACAATTTTGTCCAGGGGAAGAGCTGTCCAGCCACGGACACCAAATGAATTCCTGTTTTGTGCCTCTGGTGAATATAATAAAGGAAATACCACTTTTTGACTCAGAAGATGAGCAGCAAGCCCAAGCAAGCACTAAACATAACCAGGCATCTGACACAATAGGTAAGGCTGACTGGACTAATTTGCAGCTGTGAATCACAGGTTACCAGGTAAGGGGCTCAGGAACTTCATCAGGGCCCACTGAGGCAGTCCAGGTAGCCTGGGATGGAGGAGGGAAGGGGATGGGGCCAGCAGGTCAAGCAGTGAGCCCTCAGCTTAACAGAAGAAAGTCCTTAGGAATTGGGAAAATTCCAAAACACAGAAATGGAGGTAATAAATATTGATGTCAGAGAAGCATGTATAAAGGAAAAGGGGAAGGTATAGGGAAGGAGTTAAAGAAAAGGAAATAATTCGGGAGCCAAGATAGTCACAAGAGGAGAAGGAGAAAGAAACGCATCAAGACAAGGAGAGGTAAAGAGACACCACTGCTAGAGACAGAGGCAGAAGCAGGGGAGATGGGAAAAATGAAGAGAAGGTTCAGAAATAAAATGAGAGTGAAAGAAAAGTAGAATGAGGGTGGAGGTGAGAACAGTGCCAGTGGATAGGCAAAGCTGTACTCCCTCCATGTGTGAATTTTATCAGCTTTTGATTTAAGACCTGGAAACACCTGCAGGTCACATTTATTCAAGAAGGAGACCAGAGCCTTGAGGATTTTTTTGCTGTTTATTTTTGTTCCTGTTTTTGTTTTTGTTTTGAGATTGCCTTTCACTGTATTACTAGGCTGCGGTGCAGTGGCATCATCACATCTCCCTGTAACCTCAAACTCCTGGGCTCAGACGATCATTCTGCCTCAAGACTCCCAAGTAGCTAGGACTGCAGGTATGCAGCACCACACCCGGCTAAATTTTTTATTTTGTGTAGAGACAGGGTCTCCCTATATTGCCCAGGCTGGTCTCAAACTCCTGGCCTCAAGGGACCTGCTTGCCAGGGCCTCCCAAAGTGCTGGCATTACAGGCAAGGGCCACTGTCCCCAGCCCCTAGTGCTCTTTTTAAAAAAATCATTTGTTTATTTCAGAATATTATGGGCTACAAATATTTAAATCACATATATTGCCTTTGCTCTTCCTGAGTCAGAACTACAAGTGTATCTATCCCCCAGACGATGCACACCATACCCATTAGATGTGAATATCCACATCCCTCCTCCTCCTCCTCCCTCCCACCTGCCCAGCACCTGTTGAATGTTACTACTATATGTGCACATAAATTTTGATCACTTAATACTAGTTTGATGGTAAGTGTGGTGCTTTTATTTCCATTGTTGTGATATTTCCCTTAGTATAATGGCCTTCAACTTTCTCCAGGATAATAGAAGAGGTGCTAGATCACCATTGTTTTTTGTAGTTGAGTAGTACTAATCCAATATATATTTATGTCACATTTTATTAATCCACTCATGTATTGATGGACACTTGGGTTTTTTCCACATCTTCGCAATTTTGAATTATGCTGCCATAAACATTCTAGTGAAGATGTCTTTTATAGAATACCTTTCTTTCCACCGAGTAGATGCCCAGTAATGGGATTGCTGGATAAAATGATAGTTCTACTTGTAGTTCTTTGAGGTACCTCCATATTACTTTCCACAGAGGTTGTACTAATTTGCAATCCTACCAGCAGTGTATGAGTGTCCCTTTCTCTCTGCATCCACGCCAATATTTATTGTTTTGGGACTTTTTGATGAAGGCCATTCTCACTGGAGATAAGTCCACATTGTGGTTTTGAGTTGCATTTCCCAGATGATTAGAGATGTTGAGCATTTTTTCACATTTATTGGCCATTAATTTGCCCTATTTTGAAAAGGTTCTGTTCATGTCTTTTGCACACTTATTAATGGAGTTGTTTGCTTTTTTTCTTGATGATTTTCCTGAGTTTTATATAGATTGTAGTTAACAGCCCTTTATCAGATGTGTAGCTTGTGAAAATTTTCTCCCATTCTGTAGGTTGCCTCTCTAGTCTTGTGATACTTTCCTTGGCTGTGTGGAAGCCTTTTAAATTGATCAGGTCCCACTTATTTATTTTTGTTATTGCTGTGATTGCCTTTGGAATCTTCTTCATAAATTCTTTCCTTAGTCTGATGTCTATGAAAGTTTTTCCAACATTTTTTTCTATAATTCTTATTGTTTCATGCTTAAGTTGAAGTCTGTTATCTATCGTTAGTTGACTTTTCAGAGATGAGGTGAGGATCCATTTTCAGTCTTACACATGTGGCTATCCAATTTTCCCAGCACCATTTATTGAATAAGGATTCTTTTCCCAAGTGTATGTTTTTGTCTGCTTTGTGAAAGATCAGATGGCTATATGAGAATGGTTTTATATCTGGGTTCTCAGTTCTGTTCCACTCGTCTCTGTCTCTGTTCTTATGCCAGTCCCATGCTATTTTAGTTGATATAGCCTTGTAGTATAGCTGGAAGTCTGGTAAATTGATGCCTCCCAATTTGTTCTTTTTGCTTAAGATTAATTTTGCTATACGGTATCTTCTCTAGTTTCATATATCTATGAAAAACAATGATGGTTATTATTTTAATAAGTATTGCATTGACTCAGTAGATCACATTGGGTAGTATAGACATTTTAACAATGTTGATTATGGTGACCTATGAGCATGGTATGGTTTTCCACCTGTATATATCCTGTGTTATTTCTTTCCTCAGTGTTGTATAGTTCTTCCTGTAGAGGTCTTTCACCTTCTTAGGTAAATATATTCCTAGATATTTTATTTTATTTGTTGCTATTGTGGAGGGTATTAAGTCTTGGATTTGGTTCTGAGATTGCCTGTTGTTGATATATAGGAATGCTATTGATTTTTGTTCATTCATTCCATAACCTGAGGCTTTGCTAAATTTATCAATTCCAATAGTCTCATGGCAGAATCTTAGGGGTTTTCTCGATATAAGATCATATTGTCAGAAAAGAGCAATAGTTTAATGACTTCTGCCCCAATTTGTATGCCCTTGATTTCCTTCTCTTGTTGCACTGTTCTGGCTAGGAATTCCAACACTATGTTGAATAGAAATTGTGAGAGAGGGCAACCTTTTCTTGTTTTCCTTCTAAGCTGCAATACTTTCCATTTTTCCCTGTTCAGCATGATGTTGGCTGTGGATTTGTCATATATGGCTTTTATCATTTTTAGGTTGGTCCTGTCTACACCTATTTTGTAAAGTGTGCTTATCATAAAACGGTGCTGAATTTTGTCAAATGCTATTTCTGTGTCTATTGAGAGGATCATATAATCTTCATTTTTTTCTATTTATGTGGTGAATAATCTTTATAGATTTGCATATCTTGAACCATCCCTGCATCTCTGGGATGAAGCCCACTTGGTTGTGATAGATTAATTTTTGATAAGCATCTGAATTCAGTATTCTGGGATTTTATTGAGAAATTTTGCATCTATATTCATAAGGGATATTGGTCTGAAGTTTTTTTTGTTGTTGTTGAGTCCTTCCTTGGCTTTGGTATCAGGGTGATGTTGGCTTCATAAAAATCCTCCTCCGGGGACAATTCCTTCTCATTTGATGTTGTGGAACGATTTTGACAGGATAGGAACCAGGTCATTTTTTTAGGTCTGGAAAAATGGGGTATGAAACCATCTGGTCCAGGAAATTTTTTCAGGAGCATTTTCTATTGTGGCTTCAATTCTGGTAGTTGATATTGGTCTATTCAGGAATTCTCTTTCTTCCTGATTGAGCCTAGAGTGGCTGTGCATTTCTAAGAATTTGTCCATTTCTAGCACATTTTCCAGTTTATGTGCATAGAGATCTTTATAGTATTCATAGATGATTTTTTTGTATTTATGTGATATCAGTTGTAATTTTTCCTTTTTCATTCCTGATTGAGCTTATTAGAGTCCTTTCTTTCTGTTTCTCATCAATATAGCAAGAGACATGTCGATTTTGTTTATTTTTTCAAAGAGCCAACTTTTTATTTTATTAATCTTCTGTGTAGTTTTTTTGTTATTGATTTCATTTAGTTCTGCTTTGATCTTGGTTATTTCTTTTCTTCTTCTAGATTTGGGATTGGTTTGCTCATCCTTTCCAGTTGTTACAGATGACTTATTAGATTGTTGATTTGTGACCTTTTTGTCTTTTGGATGTGGGCATTTATGGACATAAATTTTCCTTCAGGACTGCTTTAACTGTATCCCTCAGATTTTGATAAATTATATCTCCTTTATAATTTAGTTCAAAGAATCTTTTGATTTCCATCTTAATTTTCTGCTTAACTGAATAACTGTTCAGCAGAAGGTTGTTTAGCTTCCACAGCTTTGTGTACAGATGAGTGTTTCTATTGGAGTTGATTTCTAATTTTATTCCACTGTGGTCTGAGAATATGCATGGAATAATTTTTATTTTTAAAAATTTGTTGAGATATGTTTGGTGCCCTAGGTTATGGTCAATCTTAGAGAAAGTCCCATGAGATGATAAGAAAAATGTATATTCAGTACTATTAGAGTAGAATGTTTTGTAAATGTCAGTTAGTCAATTTTTTCTAGAGTTCTTTTTAAGTCCATTGTTTCTTTGTTTATTTTCTGTTTGGAGGACCTGTCCTGTTCTGTCAGAGAGGTGTTGAAGTCCTTGACTATTATAGTGCTGCTGTTTATCAATTTGTTTAGATCAAGTAGAGTTTGCTTTATCAATCTGGGTGCACTTAAGTTGGGTGCATACATATTTAGAATTTTTATGTCTTCTTGTTGATCTGTACCCTTCACCATTATATAGTGACCATCTTTGTCTCTTATTACTTTTGTTATTTGAAGACTAAGTTATCTGAAATCAGAACTGCTATGCCACTTTTCTTTTGGTTTTCATTTGCAAGCAATATTGTTTTCCAACCCTTCACCTTGAGTCTGAATGCGTTCCTGTGGGTTAGGTGTGTTTCCTAAAGACAGGGGACACTTGGCTTGTGTATATTTATCCATTCAGCCAGCCTATGTCTCTGTGAGCTGTTCAAGCCATTTGCATTTATTGAAAGAATTGTTAAGTGGAACAGAATTCTGTTCATCCTGTTGAGTTGAACTTTGTTGCCTTGTGTTTTCTTTCTTGAGCTGTTGTGGTGTCTTG